ACTTTAAAATTGCGTGATTACTTTGTTTATCTTAGAAACCAGGCTTTTTACTCGGTCAACACGGAAACGAGATTAATGACGTCAAAGGGGGCGGGGCTTCTGGTTACCATGGATACGTCAAACTCGAGAAAACAATAGAACTCCTTTCCATAACAATACTTTTTCATTTGCATCACACTACCTGTCAAATTCGTACTGGACTAGCCCATACCACTACTATCAAGGACCACCCTTTAGGATGCCTGCATGCCCTAGTTAGAGTGCTTTCTAAGTTTGGTCATGAAATTGAACTTTCTCTTTCTCACATTGTGAACTAACTAACTATGACATTAGAATTTTGTGCAACTATGCAAAAACAATATCCATTGTCCCAAAGATTAAAATAATTTGTAGCAGTTAGCTGTAAACCTGGGTTCTCAATTAATTAATAGCCTACCTCACTTCTGATGACCTGATTTATAGGTATTTTGGCAGATATTCTAAATTATACGAGAGTCACACCCCATTGACCAGAAATAAAAGAGCGCACGGACAATATTTTACGCTTTGTTCTTCTAAAACAAAGGCCATTCACATTCATGAGACATCCAGGGTTATCATATTGAAAATTCAGTAGCTATGCTGTTGAAATTTTTACAAATAAAAAAGAGGAAATGATGCAATACCTTCAAAACTTTAAGAAGTTGTAAATTATAGGTGAATAAGTGGATAATTTTGTCCTGTACATCGTTTTCATCAATAGCAAGGTCTTTAAAATTTCCAAACCATAAAAAAATTTAGGAAAATTGTAGGTTAAACTGACAAGCCGTGTTTCAAGTCGGTAATGGCACAAAGCCTCTCAAGCAAACCATATCGAAAGATAACTGCTAGTAAACCTTAGTGACTAGCCATACCTGCACTTGAAATCCTGACTCAAGATCCTGATTCGAAAAATCCTGACTCAAACCTCTAACGGATTCTATTGTCAAGATACAAGTCGAAATTCAAATCAAAATCCAGCTCGAAGAACAGCCAAAAGCCAAACTGATTCGCGCCCAAATTCGCCCAAGTACGAATAAGCGAACGCCGTATGCACCGAGAGACGTCTAACACGAAATACATCTGAAATATCCTATTTGATTCCGGCCTGTTTTCCCTAATAACACTTAAATATTTGACGAGTAATTAATTGAATACTCTGACATACTCTATTTGTACATCACGTATTGCGCGAGGCTTGAATAATCTCGGATTCTATGACTTCTCGATTGCATATTCGAGGCTATTATATTTGGCTTTTGCCCTGTATATCCTTAAAAAAGGGGAACTTAGCGTACCTTTTTCGCTTCACTCTTTTCATAACTTAGTTCTTCAAAAGTGTTCAAGTTTCAGATAGGTCTTCATTCTTCAATGGACAAAAGTAGCAAGAAGTGAACGATGAGTTTCCCGCATAACCATGTAACTAGCCTTCAATAAAAGAAAAATAATTTCTGTCACGCCCTATGGAGCAAAGCCAATGAAAAGCTCGGGAAATGTTTCGATTGATTTATTTACGTGTTCCTACAGAGGCTGCGCATGGTCACGTATTAGGTTTATTAAACAAATGCGAACCAAATAACGAAAATTTCGGTTAAAGGTCACTGGAAAAGTTGAAAATTTACATGGACATGTCAATTTTAATTTACAGTATGTAAATCTTGATTTAC